TCGTGAAAAAGTTTGGCATCGCTCTTGCCGGCATCACCACCCCATTTCGCACTCCTCCGCCTAACCACAAGCCCGACACCACCCCGCTCTCTCCGGCCGACCAACGCCTCTATCAGCAGCAGCTCTGATGCCTACTCTTCGCCGCTGTCACATGCCGCCCGGACCTATCCTACATCACCAGCCAGCTCGCCCAGTATCTGCGCCAACCTGAAGGGGAGAATATGGCGGACCTGCGACGCGCCTTACAGTGCTTCGTTTCTACGCCCGACGTCGGCCTTAAATATAATGCGAATCTAACGACTACTCTACAACTTACCGGCTATGTGGATGCTGATCACGCTAGGGGCGTAGACAACAGAAGGTCCCGCATAGGCTTCATTTACAAACTTGAGCCTGCAAGAACCATCTCTTGGAACTTACAGAAACAAGAGCTCATCGCCCTTTCGTCAGCAGAAGCAGAATTCATCGCAGCAAGTGCAGCAGTTCGCGAAGGACTATACCTCACGGAGCTCCTACAGGAAACAAAGACGGCGATGAACGGGTCTTTCAAGTTACTCTGCGACCATCAGAGCGCGATCAAGATCGTGAACAAACCCGGCTTCGTCAACCACACGAAACACATCGCCCTACGTTACTTTTTCGTCAAAGACGAAATCAACAAAGGGAAGGTCCAGCTCATCTATTGTCCAACTAGCGAAATGGCAGCTGACTTCCTGACGAAGCGACTGCCACGTCCGAAGTTCCAGTATTGCTTGGATCTGTGCGGAGTCATCCGAAAGAGCCACGTGGCGCACCCCCAGGAATGAAGGGGAGTGTTGGAGTATGAAGGGAATTAACTTCAGCATTCCGTAGGTGCAGCCGTATCGCACCCGCCACTATCGAAGCAGCACTAGCAACAGTATCGGAACAGCCCATGTTAAGGGCAAGAAGGTCAACAGTCGCAAAGGTCAACTGTCGCGACTGTTGACCATCTGGACCAATTGACTCACCATCGAGGAAGGGGAACAGGCGTAACCACCTTTACGGTTACACGCAGCGACTCAGTAACAAACGGGAATAACAATTGCCAGAGTCACTGTAGAAATGTCTGTAAAACAGTTAGAATAAGGGATGTACCCCTTAGAGTATATAGCTAACTAGATCCATTTATTGCTTGTACTTTATCCTTCTATCAATCTTGTCATTTACATTCACTATGCACAAGGTTCCTACCACAAGTCTTCCGCTACCAATTCTCAAAGCAATCCTATCCTATCCAAGATCCTCACTCTAACAGTCCCTTGATACGTCTTGGCCCTGTTCTGTTGCCGCATTGGTTTTGCGGCAATAACAACACAGCACAACACAAGTTGTGCGTTGAACAATTTGAAGCCACGCCAATTCTTTTTGCCACCATTTTTGAAACTTCTAGTCCATCATTGTGCTACACCGAACCCCCCCCCCCCCCCCCCCCCCCCCCCCCCCCCTCTCCCCCTCCCACTCACGTCATGGGGATCAGCATTGGTATCCTTGCTAGCTTTTTAACTTGCCTTATGCATCCGTTGCTTTAAATTTTAATCTCTGATTGTTATTGGAGAACCCTTCTCATTTCAACGTATTCTGTTCTTTGGGTGGGGAAAATAGTGAACAAGTGAGGAGCTCGGTACGGGGAAAACTCCACAAAATGGTAAGAGACGTGCTTGATACGGGGATTCAATGAATCATCCTCTTGGTTCCGTCATACCCCGGATAAAAGACCCGGGGGTATTTGTCAGAATCCCAGTCACTAACCACTGGGATAAAAGGGCTTGTTTGTGTAGCGGGTGAGTGCGCCCATAACCCCCCAGACCAACGTGCCTGTAACCCTTCCCTAGGATCGATCGGGGATCACTAGTGGACCTCTGACACCCCCCCGCACTAGGATGCCCGAGGTGCACACACCGGGATTCGAACCCAAGACCTTCGCTCTGATACCATGTCAGAATCCCAGTCACTAACCACTGGGATAAAAGGGCTTGTTTGTGTAGCGGGTAAGTGCGCCCATAACCCCCCAGGCCAACGTGCCTGTAACCCTTCCCTAGGATCAATCGGGGATCACCAGTGGACCTCTGACAGTATTAACGAATCCCGCCCCGAAATTTGGGGGGGAAGGAGGTCTCAACAATTGGCATGTATTTATCATGCCCGTGTTGTCAGAATGTTGTATTTTTCTAGCCTGCAGTGGGGTACTCTGTAGCGAGTACAGCCCAATCTAGGGTTTCCTATATGTACTCAACTGCTTGCTAGTGCAACCCCTCTTTCTGCTTCTAAACTTTTGCCTAGATCTCGACATGCTACCAGAGCAGGTCGACCCCCTTGGGTCGATCCTGTGGGTGGGCCCGCCACCTAACTGCTTCCGCTGCTGTTATGCTTCTCGCGCGCCTCGGGCGTGCGAAAATTTTTAAGCCTTTTTCATCCCGCCGTGCGCTCGGGGCGCGGGGCGAGTTTCTGCCCGCTGTGCACCCCGGGCCGCGCGGCGGTTTCCTACAGTGGGGGTCCCGCGCGCGCCCCCGCCCTGTCCGTCGCGTCGCCCTGGGGGACCCGCGCGCTGCCCCCACTGCCCCGTCGGTGGTCGCGTCGCCCCGCCACCCCGTCGCGCCGCCCTGGGGAACAGCGCGCGACCCCCCGCTGCCCCGTCGACGGTCGCGTCGACCCGCTGGACCCGCGCGCGGCATCCCGTCGACCCTCGCGTCGCCCCCGGGGACCCGCGAGCCGCCCCTGGAGCCGTGCGCGACCCCCCCGTTGCCCCGTCGCGGCGCCCTGGGGGGCCGCGCGCGGCCCCTCGCTGCCCCATGGTGGCGCCCTGGGGGCCGCGCGCCTTCCTCCGCGCTCCTACCCCGTGCCACCCGTTTTATGGTTTGGGGGTGGGGAGTGTGGGGGTGGCGGTTGTTGGGGCGCCGGTTGTGTGCCCCGTCCCCTACTCCTCCTCCTCCTCCGTCTCCCGCTGCTGCAGCTGCCGCTCAGGGGGGTGGGTGTGTGGGAGCCGAAGGAGTGGTGCTAGGGGGGTGACGTGGGAGTGGAGCTAGGGTTTAAGCAGGGGGTGTGTGAGAGGGGGGTGGGACGGTCGGGGGAGGTTGAGCGGAGGCTGCCGTCTTGTCGTCAGCAGCACCTGTAGTCCGGGGCGCTGTTCCGGTAGCCCAGTCGTAGCCAGCTGCGCCAGTCGCCCGTGGGTCCGTTGCTCGTCTGCCGCACTTAGCCGCGGAGCCAGTTACTCCTGTAGTCCGGGGCGCTGTTCCGGTAGCCACTGTGCCAGTATGACTCCTGTTGCCCGTGTGTCTGCAGCTTCAGCCGTCGCCTCTTGTCTCCTCTCCTCCTACAGTCTCGCCTCCTCCTCCTCACTTGCCCTTTGTGAATGCCTCTAGCTTTGCTTGCACTTGTGAACCTGCTCTGTGCCTGCTTATTTGTACTGATTACACCCCACTTTGGCTATGGGGGTGTGTCAGAATGTTGTATTTGTCTAGCCTGCAGTGGGGTACTCTGTAGCGAGTACAGCCCAATCTAGGGTTTCCTATATGTACTCAACTGCTTGCTAGTGCAACCCCTCTTTCTGCTTCTAAACTTTTGCCTAGATCTCGACACGTGTCTTATCTGTTGGAAACAGTTGACAAAAGGGGACAACAATGAGAAGTTACAGCGAAGGTCAAAGGTCAGCGACCTTTGACTCGCCGAAACAGCGCGACAGCAGGGACAAATAACTGAACTCGGCATTGAGTAGTTACCCGAGTCGTCGCTGTATCGAATCACACTAGAGGTTCCATTTTCAGTTAAACTCAAAGCGGTTTCTATGATATTCTTGTAATCTTATATAAACATTATATCCTTTCATTATAAACAACTTATCTTGTTCTCACACACCAGTACAAGGTGGTTCAACCTTACTTCACTCAGAACGCTTCCGCTATTACATCCTTTTGAGCCTTAGTTACTGAAAAGATCCTAAGGGCTTTTCTCAGCCCAACATTATCATCATAAGGTTATCATCATCTGGTGCTGTGCGTCCGTTGCTGCAAACCTAATGCGGCAACAGAACAGGGCCCTTGTGCAGCTCGAAGCTATGACTTATAATAATCAATATGTAAATAGCTATGACTTAATATGGCAAGGAGATCGTAGATGATTGTGATACCATACAATTCAGAAAGCAATTGGAATGCTAACTTATACTAGCTTAGCATCTACATTGCAATGACGGAACGCTGTCCCCGTTTAGATGCGCCTGAAATAGGTCAGAGTGATTGAGCACACCCAGCGCCTAGAAACCTTGCACCACCAGCCACGTTCCGTCGTGAGTAGTTTTTCGTAGCTGGACTCTCTGATAGTTCCAACGTGTTACCCTGACGTCCTTTAAGTCGACTGAGATGGCCGGATGGGTCTGCCGGCGCGGCTGGCCGGCATTAGGGTTAGCGGCATTGCTCTGTCTTGGCGCTCTGACGAAATGCTCGGCCGCTGCAGACGACGATGAGGAAGAAACCATTTCCGGGAAAACGGGAAACTACCTGTCAGGTCAGTGTAATTCTTAGCATCTCAGTTAACGATGTCAGCGCACGTGGCGGGACATGTCCAGTCGGTAGGCTCGGTAAAGCCCGCTTCTTGTGTGCACGTGGTTTCTGCTGATTGGTAGCACTCGCAATAGGCAATCTCTAGGTTCATTTATGGTCCCAACAAGAAGGCTTTTATGTGGACGAATGCAATGTCCAACCCTGCTGATATCAGCCGAGCGCCAGCAGACCACTTGAGTTGTCCACGTGGCGAAGCTTCCTAGCCATCACTGTTTCAACTGTCGTCGTCGTCATCAGCAGGAGCATCATTGTCAAAACCGCATCCCGAGAGGAGAACCTCATGTGTCACACGCCGCGACAAACGCCTAGTCACACGCCGTGTCACACGCGCGCATATCTTCTATACCTTTTCGCGTTGCTTCTCCAACTCCGGTCCCTCTCCTCTTTCCCCCACCCCTCCTTCCCCCTCTCTGCGCCAATCAGACGCTGCCAAGTGGACATGGCCAGTAGTCAACGAGCCGGGGACAGAAGCGTCAGTGTACAAGGTTCTCTCCGCGTACGTCTCTCTCCCTCCCTCTCCCTCCTTCCCTGGCTGCACTCATATTGGAGTCGCGTTTTTGAGAGTTCTCACAAGCGTCAGTGTACAAGGCTCTCTCCGCGTACGTCTCTCTCCCGTCTCCCTCCCTCCGTTGCATCACTCATCTCATCTCTGTTTTGTTCAGTTTCGTTTTCGTTTTTTTCCATGCTTTCCGTTCGTTCGCGTTTGTCGTGGGCGAAGCAAGCCGCACGCGTGAATGGCGTGCTGTGGAAGTTGAGTTGTCGTGAACGTCCCACCTGGAAAAGCACCTGAAAGACACTCTTCCCTACACCCCTCCCCCTTCCACTCGCACCCCCGGTCCCCCCATCCTCCTCCCCCCACCTCCTTCCCCTCCTTTTCTCCCCTCACCCCCCCCTCGTTCTCTTCCTCGCAGCTGGTGCAGCAACGCGTACGAGGAGATGGTAAGGATGCGGAGCGCAAGGTGAGAGGTGACTGGAACACACGACCTCCCCCCTCCGCCCCCCTCCCTTCTCCCCTCCCCTGCGTTTCCCTCTCCGTCCTCCTTCCCCCCTCGCAGCTGGTGCAGCAACGCGTACGAGGAGATGGTGAAGGACGCGGAGCGCAAGGCGAGGGATGCTTGACCATCACCACTACCCGCCCCCCCTTCCCCCACACTCGCTCCCCCTTCCCCCCCCCCCCCCCCCCCCCCCCCCCCCCCCCTCTTTTCCCCCCCCCTCCCCCCACCCCTCCCCTCCCCCCAGCTGGTGCGGCAACGCGTACGAGGAGATGGTGAAGGACGCGGAGCGCAAGGCGAGGGACCACGAGCGGCTGAAGCTGGAGCGGGACCAGCGGTTCCAGGAGTGGATGCAGTGCCGCCAGGAGAAGTTCATCAAAGAAAAGGTGGGGAGTGTTGTAGAGAGTGGGCTTTAAAGGAGAAGGTGGGGTGCTTGTTTCTGCACTGCTTTGTTTGTGTACCGTTGGGGAAGCACTAGTTTTGGGACCAGCGGTTCCAGGAGAGGATGCAGTGCCGCCAGGAGAAGTTCATCAAAGAGAAGGTAGGCCTTAATGGAGAAGGTGGGCTTTAATGGAGAAGGTGGGCTTTAAAGAAGAAGGGGGGGTTTCTCTGCAAGTCTCTTAACCCAATTTTCATGCTCAAGTTGCTCAAGTTCCTCGCTTGCTGTGTGCACCCTTCACTCTCCGCCTTTTGAGACGTCTCAAAAGTCCAATTTTCATGCTCAAGTTCCTCGCTTGCTGTGTGCACCCTTCACTCTCCGCCTTTTGAGACGTCTCAAAAGTCCAATTTTCATGCTCAAGTTCCTCGCTTGCTGTGTGCACCCTTCACTCTCCGCCTTTTGAGACGTCTCAAAAGTCCAACTTTCATGCTCAAGTTCCTCGCTTGCTGTGTGCACCCTTCACTCTCCGCCTTTTGAGACGTCTCAAAAGTCCAATTTTCATGCTCAAGTTCCTCGCTTGCTGTGTGCACCCTTCACTCTCCGCCTTTTGAGACGTCTCAAAAGTCCAATTTTCATGCTCAAGTTCCTCGCTTGCTGTGTGCACCCTTCACTCTCCGCCTTTTGAGACGTCTCAAAAGTCCAATTTTCATGCTCAAGTTCCTCGCTTGCTGTGTGCACCCTTCACTCTCCGCCTTTTGAGACGTCTCAAAAGTCCAATTTTCATGCTCAAGTTCCTCGCTTGCTGTGTGCACCCTTCACTCCCCGCCTTTTGAGACGTCTCAAAAGTCCAATTTTCATGCTCAAGTTCCTCGCTTGCTGTGTGCACCCTTCACTCTCCGCCCACCACCAGGAGCTAGAGGCGGAGTGTGAGAAGGTGCGCAAGCTGCAGGCTTCGGAGTTTGACCGCGAGAGGCTGGTGATGCGCGCTGAGTGCGACATGGAGCTCACCCTGCTGCGCGCCGAGCTGGATGCTTGTGAGATCAAGGTGCGATGACATGCACTCAGGATGGGATGAGATCAAGGTGCGCGCTGTTAGGATGCATGCAAGAAGGTGAGATTGGTGCAGGGAGACAGAGGGGCTGGTGATGCGTGCTGAGTGCGACATGGAGCTCACCCTGCTGCGCGCCGAGCTGGATGCTTGTGAGATCAAGGTGCGATGACATGCACTCAGGATGGGATGAGATCAAGGTGCGCGCTGTTAGGATGCATGCAAGAAGGTGAGATTGGTGCAGGGAGACAGAGGGGCTGGTGATGCGTGCTGAGTGCGACATGGAGCTCACCCTGCTGCGCGCCGAGCTGGATGCTTGTGAGATCAAGGTGCGATGACATGCACTCAGGATGGGATGAGATCAAGGTGCGCGCTGTTAGGATGCATGCAAGAAGGTGAGATTGGTGCAGGGAGACAGAGGGGCTGGTGATGCGCGCCGAGTGCGACATGGAGCTCACCCTGCTGCGCGCCGAGCTGGATGCTTGTGAGATCAAGGTGCGATGACATGCACTCAGGATGGGATGAGATCAAGGTGCGCGCTGTTAGGATGCATGCAAGAAGGTGAGATTGGTGCAGGGAGACAGAGGGGCTGGTGATGCGCGCTGAGTGTGACATGGAGCTCACCCTGCTGCGCGCCGAGCTGGATGCTTGTGAGATCAAGGTGCGATGACATGCACTCAGGATGGGATGAGATCAAGGTGCGCGCTGTTAGGATGCATGCAAGAAGGTGAGATTGGTGCAGGGAGACAGAGGGGCTGGTGATGCGTGCTGAGTGCGACATGGAGCTCACCCTGCTGCGCGCCGAGCTGGATGCTTGTGAGATCAAGGTGCGATGACATGCACTCAGGATGGGATGAGATCAAGGTGCGCGCTGTTAGGATGCATGCAAGAAGGTGAGATTGGTGCAGGGAGACAGAGGGGCTGGTGATGCGCGCCGAGTGCGACATGGAGCTCACCCTGCTGCGCGCCGAGCTGGATGCTTGTGAGATCAAGGTTCGACGGGAGGGGATGAATTGAGGTGTGCAATCAGGATGGGAAGAGAAGAAATCATGGTGAGTGCTGTCAGGATGCAATGAGGTGAGATTGGTGCAGGGAGAGAGAGGGGCTGGTGATACGCTACGCGCCGAGTTTTACTTTTGAGAAGTCTCACAAGTGCGACATGGAGGTCACCCTGCTGCGCGCCGACCTGGATGCTTGCGAGATGAAGGTGCGAGCATGTGAGATGAGATGGGATTGGATCAAGTTGCGTGTGCGCTCAGATGTGATGAGCGGTGGAGCGGGCCCTGTGCGATCATGCCAAGCGCGGCGGCCTTGAAGCCAACAGTACAGCGTGCCCGCACCGCACCCAAGTCTGGTTTTCAGACGTCTCAAAATGAACCCTGCGCGGCGCGACCATGCCAAGCATGGCGGCCTCGAAGCCAACAGCACGGCATGCCACCACCACCGCACTGCACCCTAGTCTAGTCTGGCCTGCCTCCGGACTCCCTTCCTCACCTTCCTTTTCCACCTCCACCCTCTAACCACACCACACCTGCTTTAGCTGAGCAACAAGGAGCGGGCAGTGCGTGAAAGAGAAGTCGTTGTGAAGAGAAGTCGTTGCGACCATGCCAAGCGCGGCCTGGAGGCCAACCAACACCACAGCGTGTAAGCACCGCACGCAGGTCACCGACCTCACCCGCCTGGCGGAGCTAGATGACACCCTAAGGTGTTCACACGGCAACCAACTCTCACCTCTAGCACCTCTCTTCCCACCTTCCCTCCGTTATCCTCTCCCCGGCTACTCCAGTTGAGCAACAAGGAGCGGGCGGTGTGCGAGAGGGAGGTGGTGGTAGAGAGAGCCCTCTGCGACCATGCCAAGCGGGGTCTCGAGGCCAACACCACGGCCTGCAAGCATCGCACGCAGGTCACGGATCTCACCCGCCTGGCGGAGCTAGAGGCCACGGCGGAGCGGGCGGCGAAGGACCACGAGGAGTGGGCGGCGGAGAGGGAGCGCCTGCGCAAGGAGCTCAAGGCGTGCCGCCCGGCGCGGGCGCACGCGGAGGCGCGGCTGAGGGAGGTGCTGGCGGATGGGACGATCGACTCGCTGGAGCACACCGTAGTGTGGCTGCAGGTACGGGAGTAAGCTCATCACGTAGTATGGGGCTAATTCTTTGCTGCTGACTCCAATCTTTGTGCCATACAGCATCGTGCCGTGCTGTGATGCTGCTGTCATCCGCTCACAGTATTCTATGGGATCTTGGCATCCTTTTCTCATGACAACCTCCGCCCCGCCTCTTCCCCACCTCTCCCCCACCTCTTCCCCACCTCTCCCCCACCTCTTCTCCCCCCCTCCCCCCTCCCCCGCACCTCTTCCCCACCTCTCCCCCCTCCCCCGCACCTCTTCCCCACCTCTCCCCCCTCCCCCGCACCTCTTCCCCACCTCTCCCCCCTTCCCCGCTCCTCTTCCCCACCTCTCCCCCCTCCCCCTCACCTCTCCCCCAACTCTTTCCCACCTTTCCTCCACCTCTCCCCCACTTCTCTGCCACCTCCCCCACGACCGTTGCATGATGAAATTCGTGCGGTGCTGTGAGCGCAGGTTCTGCTGGGAGTGCAGGCGCTGGTGCTGCTCGTAATGCTCTCCTTCCTCTTCTTCCTGCTTTTACATGGTACACGTGCCCTTTTGAGTCGACTCAAAAGTCACCTCGCTGGTGCTGCTCGTAATGCTCTCCTTCCTCTTCTTCCTGCTTTTACATGGTACACGTGCCCTTTTGAGTCGACTCAAAAGTCACCTCGCTGGTGCTGCTCGTAATGCTCTCCTTCCTCTTCTTCCTGCTTTTACATGGTACACGTGCCCTTTTGAGTCGACTCAAAAGTCACCTCGCTGGTGCTGCTTGTAATGCTCTCCTTCCTCTTCTTCCTGCTTTTACATGGTACACGTGCCCTTTTGAGTCGACTCAAAAGTCACCTCGCTGGTGCTGCTCGTAATGCTCTCCTTCCTCTTCTTCCTGCTTTTACATGGTACACGTGCCCTTTTGAGTCGACTCAAAAGTCACCTCCCTGGTGCTGCTCGTAATGCTCTCCTTCCTCTTCTTCCTGCTTTTACATGGTACACGTGCCCTTTTGAGTCGACTCAAAAGTCACCTCGCTGGTGCTGCTCGTAATGCTCTCCTTCCTCTTCTTCCTGCTTTTACATGGTACACGTGCCCTTTTGAGTCGACTCAAAAGTCACCTCGCTGGTGCTGCTCGTCATGCTCTCCTTCCTCTTCTTCCTGCTTTTACATGGTACACGTGCCCTTTTGAGTCGACTCAAAAGTCACCTCGCTGGTGCTGCTCGTCATGCTCTCCTTCCTCTTCTTCCTGCTTTTACATGGTACACGTGCCCTTTTGAGTCGACTCAAAAGTCACCTCGCTGGTGCTGCTCGTCATGCTCTCCTTCCTCTTCTTCCTGCTTTTACATGGTACACGTGCCCTTTTGAGTCGACTCAAAAGTCACCTCGCTGGTGCTGCTCGTCATGCTCTCCTTCCTCTTCTTCCTGCTTTTACATGGTAACGTGCCCTTTTGAGTCGACTCAAAAGTCACCTCGCTGGTGCTGCTCGTCATGCTCTCCTTCCTCTTCTTCCTGCTTCTACATGGTACACGTGCCCTTTGACAAACCACCAAACCAAGCACTCTGCATGGGATGGTATTTGGGGCCATGCCATGCATTGCCTATGAAGTATATCCCTCACTTCCTCTCCCTCATGCTATGGCGATACCCCCACCCGCCCCACCTCCCTCCCCTTTCCTCGTTCTTCTCTATCCTCATCACCTCACTCCCCCGCTCCGCTCATCCATCCCCTTCCCATCGGCATTTAAGTTGAACCTGGTGCCAGCAGAGGTGGCGTGGTCTCTTACTCGTTCGCCCTTGCACATTCACTCCCCCAACCCCTTGTCCAGAGGAGAATCCCACGGGAGGGGGCGCGTATGGGTGGGTGGCGGTGCAGCCAGCGTCCAAGATGCGGCTGGTGCCAGCAGAGGTGGCCAAGGAGACGCTCATGAAGGCATTTGAGGGCCGCAGACGCACCCGCCTGCCCATCGTGCTCACCACTGCTGCCAACTACGAGCCTGACTGTAAGCCTAGCTGTGCTGATAGTTGCGCACGTGTTGATAGTAAGCCTTGCATTGTAAAGCGCCTGATTTTTTAGAATTCTCAAAAGCCTAGCTGTGCTGATAGTTGCGCACGTGTTGATATGATAGTAAGCCTTGCATTGTAAAGCGCCTGATAGGTGCGGGTCGTCACCGCCTGATCGGATGGTTCCCTGGTGAGGGTCCTCAGAAGGTGCGGCTGGTGCTAGCAGAGGTGGCCAAGCTAACGCTCATGAAGGCCTTTGAGGGGCGCACATGCACCTGCCTCCCCATTGTCCTCCTCACCACCGCTGCCACTTATGAACCAGATTGTAAGTCTAGCTGACTGACTGTAACCCGCAGGAGCACCGCCGCCTTGTCTGACTACCAGTGCTAGCCAGCTACAAACCGGACCGTGACTGCCTTTACCGTGCCTGTGACGTCCTGACATGCTTTGTCAAAGCACATCTCCCCCCTCTTCCCCCCGTGGGACCTTGTCAGGACATGCACATCTCCCCCCTCTCTCCCCCCCCCCCCCCCCCGTGTGTCTTCTCTGTTATCCCTCTCACGCCCTGTCCTCCTCTGTTCCCCGTCCCTCGCTTTCCCTTCCTTCTCCCCCCCACATCCCCACCTCAACCCCCTTCCGTTCTTATTTCCTCCTCTCTCGTTCCCACGCCCACATCCTTCTGTCCAGCTGGCAGCCCCACATTGGTCTTCCTGCTGGCGCCTGTCAACGTGGCAAGCTCAAGACGCTTCTCCCTGTTCAACCATTCTGGGGACTATGTGACGCATGCAGAGAGGGCGCAGGAGATAGGTGTGTGCATGTGTGCTTGCATGGGTGTATATATGGATGGATATACGCATGTGTGCTTGCATGGGTGTATATATGGGTGGATATACGCATGTGTGCTTGCATGGGTGTATATATGGGTGGATATACGCATGTGTGCTTGCATGGGTGTATATATGGGTGGATATACGCATGTGTGCTTGCATGGGTGTATATATGGGTGGATATACGCATGTGTGCTTGCATGGGTGTATATATGGGTGGATATACGCATGTGTGCTTGCATGGGTGTATATATGGGTGGATATACGCATGTGTGCTTGCATGGGTGTATATATGGGTGGATATACGCATGTGTGCTTGCATGGGTGTATATATGGGTGGATATACGCATGTGTGCTTGCATGGGTGTATATATGGGTGGATATACGCATGTGTGCGATGCACTGCGCTCCGGACATGCTTCTCCCTGTTCAACCATTCGGGCGATTATTCGACGCACGCAGAGAGGTCACAGGAGATAGGTGCGTGCATACATGTCCGAATGCACTTGCGTGAACATGTGTGTGTGTGTGTATTTTTGCATGTGTGTGTATGGGTGGGTCATGCATGTGTGCTCTTGGCGGTGCTATTCCTGTTCAACCGTCGCACGACTGTGTGATGCGTGCGTGCTGAGAGAAACCAGGAGGTTGGTGCTGAGAGAAACCAGGAGGTTGGTGCATGCGTGCGTGCGTCTGTGTGTGTGTGTGTCTCCATGCATGTATCAGGTGCACGCTGAGGCATCCTGAAAATGTGTCGAGGCGCCTCTCACCCTAAACCCTAAATGCCTCTCACCACCTTTCCCCCTGACCTCTTCCCCCCACCCACCTGTCCCAGGTTCCTCTCCTTTCCCCCTTGCATTGGCCAAGGCACTGCCGAGTCGCATCTGGTGGTGATGCTCCTACGAGGGCTGTGGGGAAGCGGGTTGGTGGGGCTTTTAAGGTGCCTCGACTCGAACGACATGCATTCCAAGGCACCCTGCAGATGTCGACTTTTGAGTCGACTCAAAAGTCAACTTCCAAGGCACCCTGCAGATGTTTTCAAGACGTCTCCAACCAACCAACCACACAGACCCGTTCTTCCTCCCCCCTTCTCTCCATTACTCAAACATCCGCCTGCCCCATATTTCTCTCTCCCCACAGTGGCCAAGGCACTGCCCAAGTCGCGCCTGGTGGTGTTGCTCTATGAGGGGTGCAGGGGGCCCTTCACAGAAGCCACTCTGGAGTCCCTGCAACTCACCCGCCTGTCCCATGTCCCTCTCGCTCCCTGCAGTGGCCAAGGCCCTACCCAAGTCGCGCCTGGTGGTGGTGCTCTATGAGGGGTGCGGGGGGCTCTTCACAGAAGCCACTCTGGACTCGCTGCGCCTCAAACCGGACAAGGTATGTTGTGGGTTAAGGTTTAGGGTTGAAGGTTTATGGTCGGTGTGCTGTGGTTCCTTTGGGTTTACTGTGTCAGGGCTGTGGGGGGGGGGGTGGGGCTCTTCAATGTTTCCAAGCCACATACGGGGTTCCATGCTCTCATTTGACATGGCAGGCCTTTCTTCAACTGTTCATCTTTTCCCCTCTTTAAAATGATTGCCTTCATTCCCATTTCCACACAGGTGGCATACGAGGTGATCCCCAAGGACATGGATTTCCCCAAGAGCCACAGCCTGGTGGTGCCGTGGGTGGATAAGGCAGACGGGGTGCAGTTACCATGTTCACTGCAGCAGGCCTGTCTGAGGGTTTTTTTTAGTCTTCTCATAATCCTGCTCTTTACTCCCTTGGTGCAACAGGTGGCATACGAGGTGATTCCCAAGGACATGGATTTCCCCAAGAGCCACAACCTGGTGGTGCCGTGGGTGGATAAGACGGAAGGGGTGAAGACGACTGACAGCGAGAGGGAGAGCGACCTGTCGTCGGTGATTCGAGCACAGCCGTGGGCGCAGTACCTGCTGGGGCGGAGCGGGAGGATAGGGCAGGTGCACAGCCAGCTGCTGTAGATGGAATCCTAGAAAGTATTTTTTTTTGCATTCTAGAGGGCACAGTTCTTGCTGGGCCGGAGCAGGAGGATAAGGCAGATCCACAGCCAGCTGCTGTGAGCGTAGGGTTGAAGTGAAGACGACTGACAGCGAGAGGGAGAGCGATCTGTCTTTGGTGATTCAAGCGCAGCCGTGGGCTTTAACCTGCTGGGGGGGAGCCTGGGAGCAGGATAGGGCAGTTGCACAGCCAGTCGCTGTAGATGGAATGCTGGAGGGTGTTATTAAGATTCTCAAGGCCGCACTACCTGTTGTCGAGGAGCAGGAGGAACTAGCTTCTTGCTGTAGATGGAATGTGGGTGTGTATTTGACTTCTTTCATGTTTTAGCTAATTTCTAAGCATACTAACGGATGAACAAAGATGGAGTTATTGGCGATCAATGCGCAAGATTTGCTGGCTTTTGCAGATCTGATACGTAGATACCTTTTTTTCAGACCTTGTTTTTGCAGAAACACAGAAAATTTCCCTTCTAAAGCGCGTACATGTCACAGCTCCTTTGGATTTCCCCCTCCTGACAATCACATCGGCGATGAGACAAGAACCGCCTAGAAATTGCCGAAGAAATGCCCGCATTGACGCATGTCACACCACGCGACCCTTGGGAACAACGAATTCGCGTCTTTCGACCCGGACAGCGCAGGGTTAGCTGGGAGGTCAGGAAAATGACGTCGGACGTAGTTCTAGCTGATTTGTTCCGTCGAGGAAGTTTTATCGAAAAGAGGGCTTTCCCCAGCAAAATGCCGTGATTCGATTCTGGGCTTCTTGCTGACATGTACGAACAGCCCACCCAGTGACAGGCGACCATTTGAACGCTCCATGGGCTCGTAACATCCTGAAATGTTCATACGAGCGCCTCGTATGAACATATCAGGCTGTTACGAACCCGGAATGTGGCCTCAGGCAGGAATCTTGATTCGTCCGCCTCAGTTTCACTCTGCGCGGTTGCTCGGCTGCCTCAATTGCAATCGGGCGTTTCGTGATGGATTGTTCACTCAGTTCTCGTACTGAACAGTCAGCACTACTATATCTGGCCTCGCATCTCCGCCTCCTCGTTTTCCGCAACTCCGCTGGTGCTTATGGCTGCTACTAGCCCTTCCCTCCTCGCATTCCCTCGTCCTCTCCTGCAAGTTTCACCCCCCTCGAGTTACCTCCCCACTCACTCGCCTGTAGTCTCCGGAATCTCTCTTTCCGCCCCCACGCCCACCGTTTCTCGCTGTGACTCGAACCGCAACTCTCCAGCACGCTTACTAGTGTCTCGTCGTCATTCCCTGACACTCAGCGCTGTTTCTGCGCGCCACCAGCCGCTCTTAAACGGCTCTCCAGCACCCGTGCGCCACGTGTCTTCGTCGCCGCGCTTATCCATCAGTTGCACTGCTGCTGCTGCTGGTGCTGGTGCTGCAGATGCTCCTGTCGGTGGAGCAAAAGGAACGATGACGGACCGCGGGAGTGATAGGGACGTCTCAAATCACGATGATGACGTCATCATGGCTCCTGACGTGCGTTTGGCTCCGCAGGCACGAACCCAACCCCAGGATATCATGCTCTTGCATTTCAAATATGTAAAATCGTGCAGATTTACAAGGATTATTTTCTCGTCAGGTTCACCTTTGCAGTCACCGTGATAGCAGTAAAATTCACCTCATATCTCAGTGCAAACTGCAAAGTGCATACGGTTGAAATCGATCTTATCTCCTTCCTCTTTCAGGTTCACCTTACACTCAATCTTTCCCTATTCCCCTCTCCATCCCCCCGTTCTCTTCCTTTTCCCTCTTTGCACTAACCCAGATCGCCTACATCCTCCCCCCTCACTCTGAGAACCAACCCACACCAGATACCACCTCCCCTTCGCCCTCCTCCCCTCCCTACCTCCTCCTCGTCGCCCCCGGCGCTTTCATCCCCGCGCTCTCCTACCTCCCTCTTATCCGCGCTATTAGATCCGTCACGCCTTCATCTCTGCGCACGCGCCTGTGGGTGGCCGTATTGAAGGAAACGACTGCATTGGACATGGAAAAAGGGAGAGCGTGGGCTCGGGATGGGTATGAGGTGGCAGTGAAAGCGGTCAAGGAGATGGGTGCGGATGTGGGCAGTGGAGGAGGGGGCACTCCGCGGGTGTTTGTGCTCGGACACAGGTGTGTCACAGGGAGGGCCTGGGGTGGGGGAGGGAGGGGAAGAAGTTGCTAGTTGGCAAGGGTACGTGGTGCAGTGGTGAGTTAAGGAGATGGGTGCGGATGTGGACAGTGGGGGAGGGGGCACTCCGCGGGTGTTTGTGCTCGGACACAGGTGTGTCACAGGGAGGGCCTGGGGTGGGGCAGGGAGGGGAAGAAGTTACTAGTTGGCAAGGGTACGTGGTGCAGTGGTGAGTTAAGGAGATGGGTGCGGATGTGGACAGTGGGGGAGGGGGCACTCCGCGGGTGTTTGTGCTCGGACACAGGTGTGTCACAGGGAGGGCCTGGGGTGGGGGAGGGAGGGGAAGAAGTTGCTAGTTGGCAAGGGTACGTGGTGCAGTGGTGAGTTAAGGAGATGGGTGCGGATGTGGACAGTGGGGGAGGGGGCACTCCGCGGGTGTTTGTGCTCGGACACAGGTGTGTCACAGGGAGGGCCTGGGGTGGGGCAGGGAGGGGAAGAAGTTACTAGTTGGCAAGGGTACGTGGTGCAGTGGTGAGTTAAGGAGATGGGTGCGGATGTGGACAGTGGGGGAGGGGGCACTCCGCGGGTGTTTGTGCTCGGACACAGGTGTGTCACAGGGAGGGCCTGGGGTGGGGGAGGGAGGGGAAGAAGTTGCTAGTTGGCAAGGGTACGTGGTGCAGTGGTGAGTTAAGGAGATGGGTGCGGATGTGGACAGTGGGGGAGGGGGCACTCCGCGGGTGTTTGTGCTCGGACACAGGTCAGTGGTGCGAGAGGGTTGCCTCGCTGCCATCAGCATCGGCGCCTTACTCACACAGTACTCAAGAAACTACTCTCCCTTCGTCCCTCCCCATCCCCCACCTGACCCCCCACCCCTTTCCAGCGTTGGGGCCTTCGTCATGACATCAGTGGTGCGAGAGAAATGTCTCGCTCTCATCAGCATCGGCTCCTCACACAACAGCCTCGAGACCTCCTTCCTTCAATTCCCAAGGCCCACGCTCACCATTCTTGGTGACAGAGACGGCCAGGCTCCTCCAATTGCCATGGCGCTAGCAGTCAAGGAGCTGGACCCTGGATCCTCAGGTGTTTGTTCAGGTGCTTTTTCAGGTGATTCTTCAGGTGGTTCTTCTATTGCTGCTGCACCACCTGGCAGCGCGACGGCAGCAGCGCTGGGGCCACTGCTGTCGATAGTCCAGAAGCCGGTTGTGATTATAAAGGGGATGAATCATGCACAGGGGGGGAACGGGGTGGTGAACCGAGAGAGGGGCGACCTGGAGGCATCTCGACCAATCGAGGAGGTGCTGGAGGAGATTGGGCGGCTGGTTTCGGCGTTTATGCTTCTCCACATGCACTCAGACAATGGCTGGGCTCCATTGCTTCTGGCGGGCAGGGAGGGGGTGAGTGGAGGAGTGGGAGGGATGGAAAGCGAGGAGGAGTGTGTGGATGAGGCACAGGGGAGAGCGGTGAAGGTGCTGCAGGGGGCAGTGGAGTGGTCGTTGGAGTACCTACGACCAGTGTGGAAGGCCCTGGAGATGGAAAGGGACGAGCCTCGCCACGTGCTGGTCAGTCCCCTCCTTGCCTCACTCCTTTCCGTGAATATATATTGACTGGACTCAAGAATCACCTCTGACCACCTGCGGTCAACCAGTGTGGAAGGCCCTGGAGACGGAGAGACACGAGCCTCACCACGTGCTGGTCAGTCCGCCCTGCCTCTCCCTTCTTGACTCTTTTCTGTTGGTAGAGATCGTTATGCTTGCTTGGCCGGGTTCACCTCATCCCATCCCCCCCCGTTCCTTCCCTCACTTACACAAGTTGTTCGCCATCACACTCCCCTTACGCATCATCTTCCACGTTCCCCTGCTCTCCCACCCATTCCAACAGGACGTCATCCTCTCCCACGGTAACCTCCCCAACTCTCTCACCTCACTCCCTCTTTCCTCTCCCACCCATTCCAACAGGACGCCATCCTCTCCCACGCGGGCCTCCCCACCACTCTCCCCTCACACACCATCTTCCACGCCTTCTTACCACGCTCAATCCATCCACATTCCTCTCCTCTCCCACCCATTCCAACAGGACGTCATCCTCTCCCACGCAGGCCTCCCCACCACTCTCCCCTCACACACCATCTTCCACGCCTTCCTGCCCGACTTCCTCCGCTCCAAACCCGCCCTCCTCACGTCCACTGGGGGCTCCCCCCAAGTGGACTCGTCTCCTCCTCCCACCGTGCTGCAGTCCGCATGGCTGCAGTCGCAGGGTAAGTTCTGGCCGTGCCAGCCGCACACCCTGTGGGTCAAGTGCAAGAGCGCCGCTGCTATCGGAGAGGCTCTTGGTTTGGAGGTTGCGGGAGCAGGGGGGAACACAGGAGTGACGCCGGCGGTACCAGCAGCAGCAGCTGCAGCCGGAGCAGCAGGAGCAGGAAAGCCCTCCCTTGAAGCTGCGTTTACTGCATGGGCGGCAGCTGCGCCAATGGAAGTGCGCCATGTGGCGGCGTCGATCAACGAGGCGGCGATGCAGTGGGCTCTGGAGATGGTACACCCGCATGCGATGGAGAGGTACGAAAGAGACGGGAAGAAGGTGGTGTTTGGGGAGGATAGGATCGTGCCGATTGATGAGTGGATCAAATCTGATGTGGAGTGGTTACCTAAGGAGGGCGTGAAGGAGGGAGATACCGGTAAGACTGATGATAAGGAGGGAGGAGGAATTGGAGGGAGAGGGGTTGTGGTGGTGAGGTCGCCTGTTTTGATTACTGCTGATGAGATTCTTCCTGCAGAGCTGAAGGGGAGGTTTGGAGGAATGCATTATGTGAAGGTGATTACTGTAGCTCGTGCCATGCAGTGGATCATGCTTGATGCTTTTAGGTAAAGGTCAATGAGTGTTGGCATTTTATGCACGTATGTTGGTTGGATCTAACACTCAATGGCTTTAGTATAAATGCATGTACATAATCTGGTTATCGCTATGTCAGAATTAATTGCAATGAATCAGCATAAACTAGCCTTCTTTGATACCATTGTCATAATTTGTTACTTCGTGTTAGGCTGGGAATATATGACAGGCGAGCCAGCAAAATTATTTTCATCTGCGTGCACCACAACTGATGTATCATGTTCATTTTCATCCTCCTTTGCTAGTCCTCTGTGAAATACGGTATAAGTAGGTCGTTGCCTGCAGCAGTTTATAATGCAGATACGTCAACCAGTGCTGCTTTGAGCTGCCCAGGATTCCGAGCAGCTTTTCGAGTTGTAGTCGCGCGAAAAGCTATGATTTGAGCGGCGATGATGCGCAGCGACGACGATGACTTCAAAACGGAGGAATGGTTATTAGAGCCGCGGTAAAAAAGGAATTATAGGAAAGAAATATATCGTAATATCGTTATGAATAGCGTTGCTTCTTGCTGGCGACTTTGTCATTATAGGAACGACGCGTCCCTCCCGCGCGTGGAAGACGAGGAACTGCGCCGCGGCGTGCTGTTGCAGATTCTTGCAAGACGGGGCAAGGACCCGCGTCAGAGCCCGCGCCGCTGTCGCTTCGGATTACCGTTGCTGGAAGCGGTTCAACAGGAGGAATGCGCGACGTGCCGCAGTGCATAATTATTGCAGCCGACACCTCAAACCTATGGTGCGCCGATTGCTCGTGTTAAGACTAATGTTGCCAATCGGCGCCTTAAAGGTGCCGCAGTACACGATTATTGCAGCCGACACCGCAAACCTATGGTGCGCCGATTGTTCGTCGATTTATTGGTCACTCCTTTTCCTGGTCAAAGGTGCAGGTTGCCTGTCGTGTTGCCCTAACGCGCTTCAACTTGCAGGACGCTTTTTGGATCCGATTTAATTTTTTAAAGACCATGTATGGTTCCCTCTTCCTCCTCCCCCCACTCCCCGGCTCCCCCGCCACCACCACCCCCCTTCCTCTCTCGCCCCCTCCCACGTCTTCCGCTTTCCACCTCGTCGACATCCCCCGACGCCACGTCAGCTACCCCGCGTGTGCGCGTTGCACGCGCTCGCTGTCGGAGTACACCGTGAGGGGCCAGCAGGTCGCCACGTGGCGTCCGTGGCCGTGCAGCGAGTGCCAGCTGGCGGACCGCTCCGCGAAGCCCCTTGAGACGATCGAGCGGCAGACACATCTGTTCAAGCTCAATGTGTGTGGTGTGGCGGACACATCATTTCAAGCTCAATGTGATGATGCTGTGATTGCGTGAAATTGGATGATGCTATAATGGAAGGCATGAGAATGGATGAATCGTTATGTCATTCGCCCCTCTCCCTTCCCTTCTCATCTTCCCCCCCTTCCCCACCTTCCCTCCCTCCCTCGCGAATGTTCACCTCATTGAAACACTCCCAACACACGCGTTGGCAGCTGCTGTTGGTGCTCCCAGGGGAGTCCCATCCAGTGTCCGTTGTGGCGTTTGACAAGGTGGCTCAGACCCTCATCGGCTGCACTGGCTCCCAGTGGACCGCCTTCGTCTGCAGATACCCCCATGCAGGTCCGTTGCGTTTCTCGCTTTTGTAGGTGCCTGGGACATAGATTTTTCAGTGGGCACGCTCGCTTAATCTTCAAGGTACGTTAGTTCGCAACGCATATTTCACCTGCTCTCAGCACCCCCTTGTTTTCTTTTCTTCATTTGCTTTCAATCCCATCTTTGCATCTCGCCGCTCTCCTGTCTCCTTTACATCTCTCCCTCTCTCCCCTCTCTCCCCTCTCTCCCCTCTCTCCCCTCTCTCATCTCTCCGCTCTCCACCCCCCCATCCCATCCTACTCGCAGCATGTGTGTTGTCAGAGCTGCTGTGTGGCATGGTGTGCCGCGTGCAGATGAGGGACGCCGTGCGAGGCACAGGCCACGAGACCAGGCTCACTCGCATCGCCCCACTCCCCCTCCAGCACACATTGCACTCCCCGGCTCTCCCGTCACACTCGCTCCCACACACCACGGAAGCATGTAGAGTGCCGTCCCCTTTTGCACAGCTTCAGCTGCTTTTTGGGGAGGCCGAGCAGGGTGGATGAGGGCAGGGTGGAGAGGGGCAGGGTGGATGGGGGCAGGGTAAATGGGGGATGGGCGGCAGGATGGGTGGGGACAAGGTAGAGGGGGGCAGGGTGGGCGGAGGCCGCGCATTCGAAGTGGGTGCGGGTATGCTTGGGAATGGCAGGTGCATGCATCATGTGTCTCCCCGGCGTGGTTCTTGAACCAGTATGTGGTGGTTATGCATGCAGGAGAGTACGAGATTGCAAGATGCACGCGAGAGGCTTGCTCAAGAATTGATTGGTATGTGTGTGTGATGTAATCCATACGGCATTTTGTTTCAACCTTCATATTATGACTTCTGCATTCCGCCTTCTACTCATTTTCCCTTTTTTTTTTCCACCCCGTCTCCCCTCTTTTTGCAACTCCAGATTTTCCTTTCCTCTATGAATCAGCTGTCTTGTCTTATCAATTCATAAGCCTCAGCGCTGCGCTAGTGATTATAACCCATTATTGCGAGGTGGAGAACAATCGTGATGAAATAAATGCCATCCTTTTGTTTTCTTGTCTGGTTAATGCCAAACTATTGCAATTCTAGCATTTGGCATTATTATTACAAGAGGAAACCATCCTATGTCCTGAGCATTCAAACCTTTAGGATAAACGAGTTCACAAACATCGCGTTTATTCCTCGGGGTCACTGGCCGCGGGATCATCGAGTTTTTCCACCAAAGCTCCCACCGACCTCTCAACTGCCTTTGAATACGGCCTTGAACACATTCATTCCGCCGGCATCTATTTCTTCCTGCTCATCTACCTGCACTCCCTTTCCTCCTCATCCTTCATTTCTTCAGCCTAGCTCCATTTGCCTTTTCAGGCCATATGCAAAGGCCCTAGTGTTGTACTTCTCAACTTCCGAGTTAGGTCAAAAGTGATGGAGGATGGGTAACGTTGATGGACTTCAACCGATGCCTGGTAACCGTGTTGCTTCGCCGTTGCCGAATTCGCAGTGCGCTTCACCGCATTCCTGACAGTGTCCCCTTTCCCATAACACCTGGAGTAGGTGTCTGATTGGCTGCTCTGGATTCAGTACAGCTACATAAGTTATAAAGTACTGTATTTTGAATATCGCAGATAGGCGTCGTGGCACGGTGCGTCTTTTGCCTCGTAAATAGGATCAGCTTGTCCTGATAGCTGCTACGATCAGCTTTACGACAGAAATGGCCGCTTCTCGCATTTACGTTGCTTTTCCTCTTCAATTCCTCATTCTCGTGGCTGTAACACTCGGAGTGTCGGGTCCCCTTGTAGCGGGGACAAATGCACCAGCAGACTTATCAGCAGTGGATGCGAATTGGGAATCTTCGCGTTCGCGCCTGTCCGTGGCGCACAGGAAGCTCGCCGCCGAGACTGGCGCCGAAACTTACGCCGGAACTTACGCCATGATATCCGGCGCAACTCGCGCCGCGAAATCCGGCCAGTCCGCCGCAGCAGCAAGAGCAGAGCACGGCTCGGAGGCATCGAGTGAAACTGGCTCCGCAGCAATTGGATGGGATCGGCGAATCATGGCGGAGGGGGAGGCGCGAAAGGAAACCGTTTCCCGGTGGTTCGGACTGAAGCGAGAGAGTGGCGGGGAGAAGGGGCGGACGGAGCAGGGCACGACGGGACTTGGGACAGGTGAAGGCGAGAGACAGGGAGTGAGGATGGGAGTAAGGACGGGGAGGGGTAATAATTTGGACAATGGAGCGACAGAGACGAGAACGAGAATGGGGGAGAAAACGGAGGGAGACGCGGAGGAAGATGAGGAGGAAGAGGAAGAGGAGGGGGAGGAGGGGCGGAAGGAGGGGGTTGGGAATACGGCCAAAGGAGTGAGCAGCCTTGGGAGTATCCGGGAAAGTGGTGGAGGAGTAAAAGCTGGAGGTGACAGTGTTGAAGGTGATAACAACGCAAGGAATAGTGTGCGAGGGGCTGGAAGTGGGAGTGGAAAAGGTATCGTGGGGAAGCAAGAAGGGAAGGAAGCGGAGGAGGAGGAAGAGGAAGAGGAAGAGGAGGAAGAGGAGGAGGAGGAAGAGGAGAAGCAAAGGAGGGTGGGGGAGGAGTGAAACCTACTGGGGAGGGGTTGTTGGGGGGGACAGGAAGTGGGACAGTCATTGGCGGTCAAACAGTCAACAGTGATGCTGTTAAGAGAGGTGGGGTTACAATCGGGGGGGTGACACTAACGAGGGGTGGTGGTGCTGGGTTGACGAATTCACTGGATTCGAACGCGGAGAGAGCAGCGGGAGTGGGAGTGGGGGTGGGAATGGGAAGGCTGGTGGGTGAGGGGAAGGGACGGGGGAAGACGCAGGTAGCAGGGCAGGAGGAGAAGGAGAAGGAGGAGGAGGAGGAGGAGGAAGAGGAGGAAGAGGAGGAAGAGGAGGAGGGGGAGAAGGCAGGGGAGAAGGTGGCTCAAGGCAAGCAAGGAGCCACGGCGGTTACCACAAGAGAAACTGATGCAGCTGGGACTGCTGCTGTAGCGGCTACAGCTGGTAGCACTGGTAGCACTTTCTCTTCGCTGCAAACTGCTGCTGGCAGCGCTGTGAAGAAGGGGAAAGAGGAAGAGGAGGAAGAGGAGGAGGAGGAGGAGGAAGAGGAGGAAGCAGGGGCGAAGACGTCTCAAGGCGAGCAAGGAGCCACGGCCGTCACCACAAGAGGAACTGACGCAGCTGGGTGCGGTAGCGGCCACAGCTGCTGGCACTGGTAGCTCTTTCTCTCCACTGCAAACTGCTGCTGGGAATGCGGTGAAGAAAAGTGCAGAGGAGGAAGAGGAGGAAGCCGAGGAGGAGGAGGAGGAGGAGGAGGAGGAGGAGGAGGAGGAGGAGGAGGAGGAGGAGGAGGAGGAGGAGGAGGAGGAGGAGGAGGAGGAGGAGGAGGAGGAGGAGGAGGAGGAGGAGGGAAGAGGATGCAGGGGAAAAGACGTCGCAGGCAAAGCAAGGAGCCACAGCGCGAGCCACGGCCATCACCTCAACTGGAACTGACACAGGTGAGGCTGCTGCTGTAGCTGCTACGGCTGCTGGCGCTGGCACTGGCACTGGCAGCTCTGTTTCTCCACTGCGTACAGCTGCTGGCAGTGCGGCCAAGGAGAAGAAAGAGGAAGAAGTGGAGGAGGAGGGGGAGGATGAGGATGAGGAGGAGGAGACTGAGGAGAAGACTCCTGCTGCCATGCACGGAGCTGTGCCTCTTAGCACAGTGGCTAGTGACGCGGCTGAGGCTGCTGCTGTAGCGACTGCAGCTGCTGGCACTGGCAGCACTGGCACTGACAGGTTTGATTCCCCGCTGCGAGCTGGTGCTGTCAGTGCGGTCAAGAAAGAGAAGGAGAAAGAGGAAAAGGAAGAGGAGGAAGAGGAAGAAGAGGAAGAGGAGGTAGAGGAGGTAGAGGAGAAGACTTCCCAAGACAAGCAAGGAGCTGCGTCTCTCACTGATACAGGCACTGGAGCTGCTGGTGCTACAGTACCTTCAACAGCGGCTACAGCTGCTACAGCCGGTACAGCTGCTACAGCCAGAGGTGCTGGCAGTGCAGTGAAGGAGGAAGAGGAAGAGGAAGAGGAGGAGGAAGAGGAGGAGGAGGAGGAAGAGGAGGAAGAGGAGGAAGAGGTAAGGAGCAAAGCCGGTGCATGGGCAGGAGCAAATGCATTGGGTGCAGGTAGGGCAGGAGGAAGGGCAGGGACAGGAACAGAGGCAGGGGCAGTGGCAGGGGCAGGGATAGGAACAGGGGCAGAGGCAGTGACAGGGGCAGGGATAGGAACAGGGGCAGAGGCAGTGACAGGTGCAGGGATAGGAACAGGGGCAGGGGCAGTGACAGGGGCAGGGATAGGAAAAAGGGCGAGTGAAGAGTTACAGGAGGGGGGTGGAGCAGGTGAAGAGAGTAACAGAGGAGAGGGGAAAGGTGAGGAGGGCGAAGAGGAGGAGGAGGAGGAAGAGGAGGAAGAGGAGGAAGAGGAGAAAGCGAAGGAAGGTGCAGGTGAGGGGGTGCTAAAAGGAGTCAAGAGATCAGAAAACGACGCTGTCGGTGCTGGCTTTGGTGCTGGTGGTGGTGCAGTTTCTGGTGCTGGCGCTGGTGCTGGTGCTGGCGCTGGTGCTGGTGCTGGCGCTGGTGCTGGTGCTGGCGCTGGTGCAAGTGCAACTCGTTTTGAGACGTCTCAACACCCAAAGAGCACAGATCTGTCTGGTGCAGGTGCGAGTGAGAAGGAGAAAGAGGAGGAGGGAGAGGAAGAGGAGGGAGAGGAAGAGGACGAGGAAGAAAAGAAGGGTCAGGAGGAAGAGGCACTGCTGGTGCTCTCAGAAAGGGTGGGTCAACCGCTGGTGGGGACTTTCCTGGTGGCACTGTTCCATATGGCAGTAAAGAATCAGCTTATAAGGGAGCAACCAGCGGTGTTGAGTTCGGGAGTAGTGGCAGAGGAGGTGGTGGTAGTGGTGGGGATCCCGAGGAGGTGGAAGGGACGAGCGTGGTGGGCAAGGGGCCTCCAGAGACCGGCTCTTCTGCTAGTGTTGCCGCTGTTACTGGCGCTGGTTATGCTGGCGCTGGTGCTAGCGGTGCTGCTGGTGGTGGTGGCAGAGGAGGTGTTGGTAGCGGTGGTGGGGATACTGAGGAGGTGGAAGGGACGAGCGTGGTGGGCAAGGGGCCTCCAGAGACCGGCTCTTCTCTTGCTGCTACTGCTGCGACTGGTGCTGGTGCTAGCGGTGCTGCTTCTCGTGGTGCTGCTTCTGAGTTAATTTTTGGTGGTGCTGGTGCTGGTGCTAGTCGTAAGAAGGCAGGGAGGGCGGAGATGAGAAGAAGGGGAGGGGAGGAAGAGGAGGAGGAGGAGGAAGAGAAGAAGAGGAGAAAGGGGGGG